GCAGGGCAGGCCCTACGAGGAGAGGCTACGGGACCTGAACCTGTTCAGCCTCCACAAGAGAAGGCTGAGGGGGGATCTAGTGGCCTGCTACAAACTAATCAGAGGGGACCAACAGGCATTGGGGGAGTTCCTGTTCCCCCGAGCACTACCAGGAGTGACTAGAAATAATGGTCACAAGCTGGCAGAGGGTAGATTCGGACTAGACATCAGGAGGTGCTACTTCACTGTCAGGGTGGCTAGAATCTGAAACCAACTTCCAAGCGAAGTGATGCTGGCTTCTACCTTGGGGGTCTTTAAGACAAGGCTAGACAATCACCTTGCTGCCACTCTTTCCTGCCATGGCAGGCAGTCGGACTTGATGATCTGCCCAGGTTCCTTCTGACCCTACAAACTATGAAACTATGAAATTTTAACCCCTCTACATTGTACAGGAGAGAGCAAAAGAGATTATGTTAATTTGTTATGAAAAGAAATTGTGCAGCAGAACCTTAAGATATTTAACAAACCTGCTTTTGAACATTTTCATTTCTTATTTAGCTGATACTCGTAGCATAACACTAAGAGAGAATGCTAACACATTTCAATGAAGTATTTCTTATTATTATTCTCAAATACCTCAGAGGAAACTGAATTCTAGGAAACTGGGGTGGTTTTTTTTTTGCTTTCTAAGAATGATACTGTTCAATGTTAAGTGTGATAAAATACAAACCATGTTGCTATGAAACTTAGATGAAATATTTAGAATCAGCATTGATAGCCAAAGTATATTTATAACATTCTTGGAAATGGCTGTTTTACTTCAGAAATAAACATGCCCCCAAAATGCACACACATCTAACAAGATCTCAAGTATTAAGTAGGAAAGTGTGGTTCTCTAGCTTCGTGATCAATTCAACACTTGCAAAGGCAACAGCCCAATATTATAATCCTAGTACCAAAGGACACTCAAATTGTGATTTTCAAAGGAAGAGTAATTTAATGAATGTGATCTTTGGTAGAATGAAAAGAGCTTTAATTAAAACAACATACAAATTTCCCCTGAGGACCTTTATAGCCTCCTTAACTTAATTAACATATTTAAATATGGATGAAAAATCTGTTTGGAATCCTAAAATTATGCAGACTTTTTTTTTTTTTTTTACACTACAATTTCCTCTGCCCTTCCTTACTTTATTTCTTAAGGAGTAGTGTTTCTCCATTCACTGGGCATGTCTACACATGAATTAATGTGCCATAATTCCAGTGCATTAAGTTTAATGCCTGTATAACATTGGCACGTCTTTTAGGTGACACTAATGTCCAATAGAATAATTCTACTGTGCATTAGCCTTGATGTGCCATCATGCAGTCGAGTTAGTCTACTGCACTTTTAGCATCTTGTGTAGATGCGCCCACTGGTACCTACTTCTAATCTCACCCTCTGATTTCTCTACTCACTTCTAAATCACACTGATATTTTAACATGACTGAACTCAAGACTGTTAACTCTCAATTCTCCTATCTATTTTCAAGCCTGCCTTTCACTTGTTCCGAGAGAAGTTTAACAAGCTCAGTCACTCAATACTCTCCTCCTCTTATTCCACTTTCCATCATATAATGATATTCATTCAATCTGTTCTCATGTCCATGATGCAAAAATAACTGCAAATCTAATCCTTTACCTTTGCCTCAGAGCTCCTTGTGGATGGTCTCATTAACTTAACATACGAAAGCTAATCATTTCCCTGCCAGTAATCCAATTGTCATATTTGCCTCAGCTTTCGTTGCAACACCCAGATCTTGTCATTTCCTACTATACACCATTCTTAAGATTCTCCTTCCTCTTGTTCTCACATCATCAGAAACTGACCCCAACTCTGACTTTGCTTGCTGACAACAGAAGGCTATAGGGCTGTTTTTTGCTATGTCTATGAGCAGTGTCTAGTACAAGAGAGCTTCAAGCAACTACTGCAATGCAAACAACAAAAGGATTGATTTCCATGTAAGATAATTACAGATGAACAAAGGAGAGAAGATTTAAAACAGATTATTGGAAAAATCTTAAAGATTCACTAGTTACTGGATACTTCCAGGTCAAATAGTGAAAGCCCAATTCTGTGAGTCCAACTTATTGTCAGGCAAAAACCAAGATGGGAGGCTAGGGCCTGACATTAAAAGCAGTGGTTCTCAACCTTCTAGGACTCAAGAGACCCCCCTCACTGAACTCCAGTCATCCTTCACTGGACTCCAGGTGCCACCCATAACTTTTGTGAATTCAGTGGCACCCAATTTCAAGAATTAGTTTATGTATGACAGCGCTTACCTCCTTCCAGAGAGGCTGGGCAGTGGGGAAATCATCCAGGAAGGGAAAAGTCTTAGCCCGTGCTTATCTGCTTATCTCTTCATAGCTCATGGCACCCTTCAAAGTACCTGAAAGCACCTTGGATACTCCAGCACCCTGGCTGAGAATCACTGCACTGAAGTGTCATGAGCTAGTAACATCAAGAAGCAAGGGTTCAAACTAGGAGTCATAAGTCAGGAGGGAAATCTGGTAAGTCTTGAAATACCTGAAGGGTGATTATAGAAAGCATGAAGATGGGGTGTTCTCTGTGGCCACAGGGGTCAGGACTGTTAGCAATAGCTTCAAGTTGCAACAAAGGAAAGGAGATTAAGAGGAACTTTCTGATTGAGGGTGGTCAAGCACTGGAACAGGTTACCTACAAAAGCAGTGGAATCTCCATCCCCAGAAATTTTCAAGAGTAGACTGGGTAGACACTTGGCTGGGATGATTAAATTGGGGACAATCCTGCCCTGAACAAGGGGCTAGACTAGATGACCTTGCGAGGTCTCTCCTAGCCCTAATTTCCTATGACCAAGAGCATGCGAGTCAGGAGGCTGACATCTGTAAGGGACTGGGACATAGGTGGTTACTCAGATGTAGCCACAAGGCAGAGAAGTCAGGAGCAGGAAACAGGGATCCAGACCAGTCACAAGCCAACAGGTCCAGAGCAGGCAGCTGTCTGTAAGGGTAATCATTGGACTAAAGCCATGATCCAAGCATCTGGCCTGGAGTCAGAAGAAAGCAGATGGCTGTCAGGATTCAAGCTGGAGCTAGGAGCCAGGATTCAGATAAGGCAAGTTCTGTTGAGTAGGCAGACAGGCAATGAATATGTAAGCAGCCATGCCCTCCCAGGCAAATGGGACTAGCTGGAGTTCATTAGGCCACTGACAGCCAGGCCCATTCCTGTGAGTAGGGGCACTGGAGGCTAAATAGCCTGCCTGCTTTCTGGATTCCTGGGTCTGCCAAGTACAAGAAATACAGCATTAAAAACATTTGTGCACTGGGGAGGGTATGAACTGATACAGAGATGAGATTTTCCCCATCTTGAATCTTACAATGCTATTTCTAGGCCAATTTATTTGTAGAAAAACAACACTTCAAGTGTGCAAGAACAATAATAATTTTAACTGTTTAATTTGTTTTTCATGTAAAAAATATTTGTCCATGGAAGGTGAAGGCTGACGATTGTTTAGAAAGGTCTTTTGTATTATTTCAATATGGGGGAAAGATAGGCTTACTCACTCTTCGTGTTCTTTCCACATCTCCACATGGCAGTCTTTTCACAAAATCAATACCAGTTAGTGGAGTCCCCGTTGGAGGCAGTAGAATAGAGGCATCCATCATCAAGTACTCTACATTCATGGGTTTAATCTGTAGAAATAATTTCATGTTTAACATGCAATATGGCAATCAAGTTGACACTTTTACTTCCAAATACAACTTCCACTTCTAATACAAACTACAAAACCAGCATATAGAGTATTTCAAGAACCCCAGATATGGTGTATCATTTAAGTCAAAGTCTAAACATTGACAATCTTAATTTGTTCAATTGTCAAGATAAAAAACCCTAGATTAATAGAATCCCAAACTCTATATATTTACAATTTAATTTCTGGGTACACTGGAGTACACTGACAGTACGTCAAAGGGTTCTGAAGAAAATGAAGCAAGCATTGTATTGGGCAACACAAGGTAGCCAAAAAATAACTGGAAGTAGTGCTATTGATTTTGTGATGGCTTGCTCTAGATGTGGTAAAACAAACCAGAGCCGACAGACGTAAGGATTTAAGCACTATAATCCACTGTCTTCCCAAAATAAATTATCTGGAATTCCTCATTGCAAACAAAGAACTGACTTGGCTTAGAATTACATCTTTAGAAGTAACACACCTTAGGAATCTATAATAATGACACTTTGTCCTGACTTCCTCAGAAATTAGATGAATAGTTCAGGTTGATCAAAGAGAGAGAGAGCAATGACAACATATACGAAGTCACATGAATTACAATAAATACATTCCAGTTCAGTACAAAAACCTATGGTGCTTTGATAACTTTGTTTGTTTGTTTTTTTGCAAACAGCCACAATCTGAGTATTGCCAAGATGCACACCTAAGACTAAAGCTGCTCAGGAAATAAGCCTGGTGGATTTAATACCACAGGACAAAACACAGAATTCTAAATTAATGATAGTGCTATTGTGAATGTGAAACCATAAGCAATGCAAAGTCCTGATAAGGTGAACTAGATACCCTGATGATAAAAAGGGAACACCAAGCTGATCACGCTTGTCTAACTGATAAAAGCAACCAGAGTTCAAAAGAAAGACGCTAATAGTTTCTATGGTCCTGACCTGACAAGCTGAAGTAGAGAAATGGTACCACATTACTCAAAATACTAGTTCAGTCTCTATTTGAAATCCTATCTGCTGAGGATAATGCAATGGCAGCTTTTTACTTCTCTTAGCCCAGTCACACACAGGGTGAACTGGATTCAGTTCCTCTTTCCACTTAAAAGGAATTGTTTACCATGTACAAATCATTGACACGTGCAATCCCATTAAAGGCAGAGTTGCACAAGCTCATAAAACCTCAACAGCCTCCATTACTAAAGATCGTACTTCCCTGTTCCAGAACAGTTTTACTGTGATATAGCAGCCAAGATGTTTCCAAGCATGTTCAGTCACCTGCTCCTCCTCCTCATGTGCTCCAAACCTGGAAGTGTACCAGTGAAATAACTCTGAACAGAAGGATGATCCTGGAGTGGCCTCAACAATGCTCTTCCCAGGTTTACAGCGTATGAATAGAAGTACACAAGCAGGGCATACATGGAAGCATCCTGGCTGGGATACAATGCCAGCATGTCATAAACACACCCTCAGAACCCAGTCCTCTCAGTTCCACTAATGCGAATCAAGCAGTACCAACAAAATCAATAGGATTACATCCAATACTGATGGGAAAAAAGAATCTGGCCCTCATATTGCATTTGAAGGAATTAAAAAAAAGTGTAGTAGTGTACTCAGCTCATGACATGAAATTAGAGAATTAAACAAAAGAAACACCCAGCAGTGTTTTTTGTTTGTTTTTTAACATACAAATTAGAACCACATTACTGGTTTTAGAGACTTACATTTCAGATTAGTTATGTCAATATTCCACAGAACAGACTTTTTTTCTAAGGTTTGTCCTGATAGGCTCCCCCACCCCTCCTTCAACAAAAACTAAAATTCTACATTTTAAAATACAAATGATCAAATTGTTTAGCCCTCTGCTACTAACAGGGAAAAATATTAGTGATAATAGTCAAAAAAGCCTGGAGTACTGTTTTAACAACACAGAGACAATGCAGCTATTTAAGAAAATATTAACTATGTTAAATTAGTTAAATATCAATTCTCTCCAAAATCAGGTTTGCACTTTGAGAAGACTTTCTCCTCTAGCCAATGTTAAGCATAGTAATATCAGTTCCCATTAATGCTATTGCTTAGATCACCAAATCATCTGTAATTATCAACTCGTGGGCAAGCTGGTCAAGATTCTGGAGCGGGCTTTACATAAGAAGTATAACAGGACGGATCAATCCCTTGCACCAGTACAGGCTGGAGACTGACTGGCTGGCCAGCAGCTGTGCAGAAAAGGACCTAGGGTTACAGTGGACAATAAGCTGAATACAAGACAACAGTGTTCCCTCGCTGCAAAGAAGACTGCAGTGGTAGGTGTGTTGACAGCAGGTCAAGGGAAGTGATTATCAGGGATCCTAGTTTTTTCTGATTTAAAACAATCCCCAATTTTCAGTTTTAAAAAAAAGTAACCCCAAATTTACATTTTTGTGATTTAAATGAAATACCCAGTTTCATTTATAGTGCTTACACTGGGTGTTTCATTTCAATTATGGAAAAAAAATGTGGATTTGGGGTTACTTTAAGTGAAAATTGGGGATTGTTTTAAATCAGAAAAAAAAACAGGATCCCTGGTGATTATTCCCTTCTTTTCAGCAGTGGTGAGGCCATACCTGGAGTACTGTGTTCGGTTTTGGGCCTCCTACTGCAGAAAAGAAGTGGACAAATTGGAGAGAGTCTAGCAGAGGGCAATGAAAATGGTTCAGGGGCTTGGGCAAATGACTTCTGAGGAGGGCTGAGGGAACTGGGCTTATTTAAATCTGAGGGGGGATTTGATAGCAGCCTTTAACTACTTGAAGGGTAGCTCTAGAGGATGGAGCTAAACTGTTGTCATCAGTGACAGAACAAGGTCTCAAGTTGCAGCAAGGGAAGGTTAGGCTACATATTAGGAAGAATTTTCTCACTAAGATAGGAGTAAAACACTGGAACAGGTTACTCAGAGAGGTGGTGCAAGCTGCATCCTTGGGGGTTTTCAAGACCCAGCTAGACAAAGCTTTGGCCGGGATGATCTAGCTGGGGATGGTCCTGCTTTGAGCAGGGGGTTGGACTAGATGACCTCCTGAGGTCCCTCCCAACCCTAACTTTCTATGATTCTAACACTTTAAGAAGAGATGTATGCTTTTAGGTGCTATTTACTCATTATGATTCCATTCCCTATTCAAGGAGAGAAGTACTTACCCAAACTGGAATCCTGCATTGAAAGTAGAGTTATTGGTTATTTATTCCTACATTATATATTCCTAAGAAGAGGAAAGTAGGATGTGAAAAATCCTTCTAATTGTTTCTACAGTTAAGCAGTTCCGCAGTTCCTAAGGGATAAGAGGTAATCTCCATATATGATTTTTTATAATACCTGGGGGGGAAGGGGAGGGTTAATGAAACCCTGTCAATTTTTAGGTAGAGGAGCTACATACACGCACAGTATTGAGAGCAAACAAAAACACACAATTAAAGACAAACATATTAATTTCTTCCAATTCAAGAAACAAACACTTCACTGTTTCCTAGTTACTCACTGTCATACTCCGGTATTCATCTTCAAACATATCTAGAAAAATTTCTTCTCCCTTTAAAAAAAATGAAATATTTGTTTCTCATAAAAATGTATGCATTATAAACACTTGCTCATGCCACCTATTTTTCTTTACACATTTACCATAGGCCACTAATAAATTAAAAACCAAAACAGAAATCCTGTATCATCTTTCAGCGATTCTTAAAACTCTCCTTAGCTAACAAAGGGATAAAAGTGCGGTGTTTGTTAATCATTTTGGAATATTTAACATGACATCACAGTTCATTACTTAGGAGTTAAAATGTCCAAAATGCTCATATTTCAATCCTCATCTTTTACTTACACTACACTGAGAGGAATGAAGTGTTGGAAATGTGTTGTTTTGGGTACAGACAGATTTTACAAATATATTATCATCAAATAAAATAGGGCATGAACTGTTACCATGCAACTGTTATGGCTGCATGCAATCTTCAGCAGGGGGGAGGAGCAGCTCATATCATAGCTCCATGCCCTCATTTTAAGGATTTGGAATGATAAGGAAATCCCAGATGATCTCAGGGACATCATGATTGTGACAATCTTCAAGAAAGGAGACAAGTCTGATTGAAAATTAGAGACTGCCTTGCTGTCCACCACAGGAAAGATCATTGTAAGAACCCTCCTGAACCATCCCCTTCCCCTTGGTAAAGAACTCCTCCCAGAATCTCTGTGTGGGTTTAGGGCATCAAGAGGCACAACTGACATGATCTTCACAGCTCACCAGCTGCAGGGAAAAATCCAGGAACACAAATCACTTTACATGGTTTTCTTTGACCTCATGAAAGCCTTTGAAAAGCGCTACGGAGGAGCTTTCTGAAGTATAGATGCCACAGAAATAATCACCATTCTTTTCCTGCTCCATGATGGTATGTGAGAGGTGGCTCTCAGTAACAAATCTATCACAGATCCCTTTGAGGTTATGATGGGAGTTAAGCAAGGCTGTGTCATCACTCCAATGCTCTTTTCAATATTTCTTAACATGATCTGACCACCAAACTTCCAGTCAGAGTGGAGCTGAACTACTAAATGAAATGGTGTACTGCTTAAATTCAGCTGACTCAAAGCCAAAACCAAGTTCACCCCAACCTCAAATCATCAAGCTCCAGTTTGCTGATGATGCTGTAGCATGTGCTCATTTGGAAGCAGACATTCAGGCAGTTGTTGACATCTTTACCACGGCATATGAGAAAATGGGACTGATGCTTAATATTCAGAAGACTAAAGGTCCTCCATCAATAGTAAGTCAGATTCACGGTGAGACTGGAGAACACAGAGTACTTCCCATACCTCAGAAACTATGTCTCTCGGAAGGCTGACATCAACGAAGAAATCCAACATTGCCTTAACTGAAGAAGTGCAACCTTTGGACAACTGAGAAAACAGGTGTTCAAAAGGTCACATCATCAGATCTGAAACCAAGCTCATGGTTTATCAAGCAGTTGTGATCTCCACCTTACTGTACTGAGCTGAGAGACAATATACAGGAGATCCCACAAGTCATTACAGAAGTACCACCAAACTGTGTCTGCAGAAGATCCTTCAAATCCAGTGGGAAGATAAACTCACCAACATTAGTGTCCTCTTGCAAGCAAATACCACTAGTATTGAGGCAAGGATCATCCAATATCAACTTTGCTGGGCTGGCCATGTCATCTGGATGCCCAACTCCAGACTCGCAAGGCACGTTTTATTCTTCCAGCTCAGTCAGGGTGTATGCTCAAGAGGAGGGCAGAGAAAGCACTTCAAGAGCGTACGCAAGGCCAACTTGAAAAAAATGCAACAGACATCAACTCATGGGAGGCTGCTTCTGCCCAGGACTGCCCCAAATGGAGGAAGGGTCTGCTGAAAGGATCTCAGTACTTTGAAACATTATGACAACACAAGGAGGTGAAAGAGCGGAAGTGCAATAAATAGTGTGTCATGAGCCAAATCAAGAATATGGAAGCACCCACCCTGTATGGAAAGATGTGCAGCAGAATCTGTTGATCCTGTATTGGCCTTGTCAGGCATCTTCAGACCCACATATAAGACAACCATGGAAGACAATCAATCACTCTCAACTGCAAGGGACTGCTGAAGATGTCAACCTTTGCACATGTCTACAGCAATGCAAGCATAGCAAATCTGTTGTAATGTTAATTACATGCAATGTTAATTGAACAAAACAGGGTTAAAATTAATGATACAGCTCACTCGCATGGCCTCAGGAGCATGCAGAGGTAACAGTTGCATCATGACGGCTGATGTGTGGCTTGGAGTAGGAACTCCTCCTTCCCTATTAAAGTGGTTAAAAGCTATGCCTGTGTATAGCCTTAAATGGTGAAAGAAGAAATCTTTGAGACACTAAGGGGGAAAAGGAATGCTGAGCAAATAGTGCCATAAATAACCTTGTGTCCGATTAATTCTGAAAGTCTGATAAGTGAAGTTTTGTGTTTCAGATTTGGGTCAATGAAACAGGAGATAAATGCAAACCCTATATGATACAGACACGTACTTTGACACCTCACCTGAATTTTGGCCTATAATCCAAGTCCAAGCTTCTGAACCGTTTCCAAGGAACACCTGCCGGTGTAATAATTCCTTCTGTATCACAAATATGGAGTTCCTCCCTCACCTCAAAACTTATGCAGCCTGGTGGCTCAACATGGACAAAACTCTAACCCCCAGTATTAAATAGTATCTTTCTTTACATGTTTTATATAAGCACAGAAAACAGAATATATATTTTTACTCACATATGCCCACACACAGAAAGGGAGAAAAGAAAGCAGGGAGAAGGATATTCTACACCACATTGGAAGATGGAATATTTATAGTAAGACTATTATTTTTATCCTTAAATTCATAAATACATACCTTATAGAAACGCCGAAGGAGATGAACGCTTTCTTCTCTGGCCCCCTAAGAGGAGTGCATAAACATGGAACATCAGTTATGTTCCAATTAAATAATCAATTTACTATCAATCAACCTAAAACATTCAAAAGAAAGCTTGTCCAGTAAATAGGTTTTAACACCACAGCCCACAACCTGCAGTCGCAAAATCCTTTTAATCTAACCAAACTTAGTTTCATATCAATTTATCACTTGGGTTTAAAGGCTACTTAGATGCATACACTTTGGGCCCACAGAGTGCACAAAATAAAGCAACAGCAGAACAGAGAACTTCGGGTTCTAACTTCTAATTCTTCAAATTAATTATACAAGTCTACCTAAATGAAACTGGTTTAGTAGTTAAACTTAACAGGACAACTATTTACAGTTTTAGCTCATGTCCAGTTGTTATGATAACCACCCTTAAGTATTGGTCCTGTAAGCATCAAACACTGAGAACTCTTCCTTAAGAAAGACAACCTAGTAACCATTTACCAATCCAAGTATACAATATAACTACCTCAAGGCAAGCAAGATGAACATCTTTTATAATACTGCCACTTTTAGATAATACCAGCTGCTTAAGTAACAGACAGCCAAGTTCTAATGTTGCCAAACGGATTCTTCCATCTAAAGAAAGAAAAATTATTAATTCCAGCATACAGGGTATTTATTCATTATCAGAAACTTTTCATGAGTTGCCTCCTTTCCCCCCCCGCTTCAAACTGCCACATACCATATTAAACTGCACTCACCAGTGCCACACAGCACCATACCATGTTTTCTTAATAAGCACGTAGGCACCAAGATTATAATCTTGCAAAGCACCCTATATCAAAGATCATTTTTGTCTTTGGTAAAAGTAATCTGTTAAAGGAAAACTGTCCTCTAGAGTGTGTAAAATGCTACTAAAAGCGAAGTGTTTTGACTTGGAGCTAAGCCAGACTGCATCAAGTAACAGAAGTTTAAAAAGTCTGGGGAAGGGAGCCAGATAACTCTATTCCCTAGTTGTTTTGTATGGCAGTAGCCTTTGGGACCCCAGTCACAGACCATGACCCCAGTGCTGTCTGTAGGGGGGTGGCGAATCAGGGCGACTGCCCCAGGCCCCATGCTTTGGGGGGCCCCACAGAGCTGGACAGAGTGGCCACGGTAACTGAGTCGCCACCTCCACATCCGGCCACTTGCTAACCTCCCTCTCCCCCAATTGTGGTGGCAGCTTCTTCACATCCAGTGAACGCGAGATCAGGGCAGGGGCAGGGCCCTGCACAAGCTGATTTGCCCTGGGCCCCACACCCTGCTTGAGTCAGCTCTTCATGACCCCCCCCACCAATGCTAGAGGCTGCACAAATACATAACAGACTTCCTTTACCTTGAAGAACTTATACATAGATATAAGAATGTGTGTGGATCCAGGCATATTGGATGAACAAGCAAAGACAACACTGGTCAGTGCAACAGTTTGTAGTGTGGGCCTACCAGCTGACCAATTGTTGGCAACATTTTTCTAGAATTTTAAGGAGAAATTGGAAGTAGGATAAGGAGTTTATGGTGTGTTCTTCCTGTGAATGAGGATAACAGAGTGGAAGATAGGAGTGCTGGCTTGAAAAACTGATAAGTAAAAGCAGTACAGGTTGGCATCACTGGCTGAGCAGTTGTGAGCACTGATATCCAAATAACTTATGGAAAACAGGAAGGAGGACGATAGCCTGTGAGTGGCCTTAAAAGCAAGGCAACTGATGTTTGACATGATGGAAAGGCGACAGCAGCAAGGATAATGTAATGAGCCTGGAAGAATATTAATTAGAAATGCGGTTGCAAGACTGAGGGAGTCAAAACTACAAATGCAAGATAAGAATTGGATAAACACTCATGTTAGAATGAGGACCTCATATAATAAAGGTTTTGCTGAATAAAACGTATAAGATTCACATGCGGCCTCTATATGGGTATCTAGGGAGAGCAGGGTCAAAGCAAACCCTCAGGCTGTGCATGACTCGGGGAAGATAGTGATTTTGTTCAGAATTGAGACTGTTTTTGGATTTTTGGAAGCAATTGGTCAGTAGCTCTGCTGTGACCACACTCATCTAAAAGTAACAGCTTGCATTCATGAGCAGATATCAGAAGAACCAAGACTTTATACAGAAGGAAATGGTTTTGGAACAGAGGTAACCCAAGTCATGAACATAGACTCATATTTATGTGGTTAGTTATGATTAACTATAAGGAAGTAGGGCTGGAAGGGCCCTTGCAAAGTCCAGTCCCCTGATCAAGGCAAATCACCTGTGATTAACCTATTCCAGGCCAAGTGTCTGTCCAACCTACTCTTGAAAATGTCCTGGAATGGAGATTTCACAACCTCACTAGGTAGCCTGTTCCAATGCTTGATCACCCTCACGGTAAGGAGGCTCTTCCTAACCTCCAACCTAACAATTTCCTCCACTTCATCTTGAGACCATTGCTCCTAGTCCAGTATCTTACAGCAACAGAGAAAAGGCTATCTCCTGCCTCTCTGTAACCACCCTTCAGATATTTGAAGGCTTATAAAATCCCCCCCTCTATCTTCTCTTCCCCAGACTAAGTAACCCTAGTACTTTCAGTCTTTCCCCATACATCATGCTCTCCAGATCTCTAATCAGTTTTATTGTTCTCTGTTAGACTCTTTCCAATCTCTCCATAGGCTTCTTGAAGTGTGGGAGCCTAACCTAGACAGTACTCCAGCTGAGATCTCACCAGTGCCAAACAGAACAGGAGAATCACTTCCCTTGATTTGCAAGTTGTATGCCTGTTAACACAACCCAGTATGCTAATGGCCTTTTCTTGCAAGAAGAGCACACTATTGGCTCACACTCAGCTTATGGTCTACTATAACCCCTAGGTCTTTTCTCTGCAGCACTGAGTTCAGAGGCACACCTTCAAAAGTTGTAGAGGGAGAAAGAATGGATCAAAAAAGATAAAGCCAACTGAAACCCACCCCACCATTCTCCAGAGCATCTGGAGGTGTGTTGAAAGGGGAAGGGGAAAATAAAATAGGGATGAAACAATTCAAAATCCCTAAAGCAACACCCCTGGGCAAACTGTATTATATCCTAAGCTTAAGAGGGTCCAGAGAAGGGCCATGTGTATGATCAGGGACTTGCATGGTAAGCCATACGAGGAGAGGCTGAGGGATCTTGGACTCTTCAGCCTAAAGAAAAGAAAAAGGCTAAGAAGGGACCTGATTGTGGCTTACTGCTTTATCAGAGGTGTACATCAGGGGCTCAGTGAACAAGTGTTCACCAGGGCGCCCTGGGGGAAAGCTAGAAACAATGGCCATAAACTCCTGGAAGATAGTTTCGGGCTAAAACATTAGGAAAAACTTCTTTGCAACTAGGGTGTCCAGATTATGGAACAAGTTTCCCCCAGAGGTGGTGCAATCATCTAGCCTAGAGGTCTTCAAGAGAAGACTGGATGGTCACCTGGCTGGGGTCACCTGATCCCAGATGTTCTTCCTGCTCATACAGCGGGCTGGACCCGATGATCCTTTGGGGTCCCTTCCAGCCCTATGATTCTATGATGGAATGGACATGCTTTTTATTTAAATAGAGGGGAAATAAAACATACCCCTTCCTTCTGCAAGCATATGCAGTCTCAGAACATGTGGCTTGGCACAGCTTAACACCTTGGACAGATGTACTATTTGAAGTGCACTCTGAATTCAAAGCACTCCAAATTGGAGTGAAATTTGGAGCCGCAAGAAATCGAGGAAAGCATCCACACCTGAGGATAGGAAGGTGATCCAGGCAGATCTGGACAGACTCACGAAATTGGCAGATGAGAACCTGATGGTGTTCAACACTTAAAAATGCAAGGTTCTCCACCTTGGGAACAAAAACCAGCAGCATGCTTATAGGCTTGGCAGTGCTATGCTGGCTAGCACTATGGATGAAAAGGACTTGGGGGTCATGATTGACCACAAGATGAACATGAACTTTCAGTGAGATGCTGCAGCTAGTAAAGCAAGCAAAACGCTGGCTTGCGTCCATAGATGCTTCTCAAGCAGATCCCAGGACATCTTTGTCTCGCTTTACTCGGCCTTGGTGAGGCCGCAGCTGGACTACCAAGTCCAGTTTTGGGTTCCACAATTCAAAAGGGATGTAGAGAAGCTTGAGAAGGTGCAGAGGAGAGACATGTGCACGATCAGAGGTCGGGAAAACAAACCTTATGATGAGAGGCTGAGAGCAATGGGCTCAGGGGTGATCTGGTGGCCACCTATAAGCTTATCGGGTTACTCATCAGTATCTGGGGGAATGACTATTCACCAGAGCCCCCCAAGGGATGACAAGATCGAACAATCACAAACTCCACTGTGACCGGTTCAGGCTGGACATAAGAAAGAACTTCTTCACTGTGCGAGCCCCCAAGGTTTGGAATAGGCTGCCACCAGAGGCAGTTCGAGCACCCACTTTGAACGCCTTCAAGACACATTTGGATGCTTATCTTGCTGGGATCCTATGATCCCTGCTGACTTCCTGCCCCTGGGGCAGAGGGCTGGACTCGATGATCCTCTGGGGTCCCTTCCAGCCCAAATGTCTATGAAATCTATTAAATCATCCCCATAGACTGTCACTTAAACACACAATTTTGAACCTAAAAGAAAATTTTTAAAAAAGATTGAAAAATTTGCAGCCAAACAAATGAAGGTCAATTTCCTAGGAATAGGCACAAGGTTGTAAAAATTTGTATGTGGAGTTAACCAATACTTTGAGGAGACTATTGAGGCAAATTGAAATATTTCAGCACACTGATTTGCAAAATTAGATCCTACAGTCATTTACAAATGGAAGCTCCCTCTCTGGTCATTGCTTGCTGAATGGTTTGCTTAGCAACACAGTAGTATGACAGACCTCCCTGCTCCATCTTGAACACAGCATTAATTACTCAGATAAAAATGCAGCGACTCCAATGGAAGATGACCATTTGTCTTTCGCAGGCAAGATGTCCATGTTATCCAAGTAGTATGTGGTAGCTGGAAACTGTGGTAGCTGGAAACTGTGTAGCACCAAGTTCCTTCCCCAGAAGGATAAAGGACCTGATAGCCTTAATGTTAAGGGTACTAAGTGCCATCTTTTCATAGTTTATAGCTACACAAAAGTCAGCTGAAGTGATCAAAAACACTCTACCTGGTTGAGCAGCATAATTCATTATCCTGATGAGCCTTTCTGCAAGCACGTGGTTGTATGAGTTTCTCTCTTCAGCATGCTCTGTTGGAAGCTGAATTCTCTCCAGTTTGGTTGGGTCAATTCCTTTTGGGGGAAGTAAGAACAGCTGTTATGACAAAACATTATTAAATTGGAACAGTCACTTTGACGAGGCAGAACAACATAACTGCTAGTATTACTGTTACTTCTGAATGCCTAGAGCTTAAGACATGGAAGCAACAAGAGACTGGACAAGGTATACCCTTACAGATTGGGATTTTAGAAAGATCTTAAGGGATCTCGAACTCCATTGGAATATATTTAAATACCTAAATACCTTGGATTCCTCTAAAAATCCCAGACTCAAAACCTATTTGTATGCAAACTGAAAATAATTTTATCCCATAATTTTAATTTTATCCCATAATTTTAAAGGTGTAAAACTTGAAAACTGAACTTAAAGCACAATAAAACATTGAAGATGCCACTTGCTACCAGCTGATAAGTGTAGTAGTCACAAACGAAGTCCAACTTAAGAACACTTGTAGAAAGAGGCAGTTAGTTGTGGCAGTCTCTCGTTCGGCAGAAGGCAGGGCAGGCTGCCACTTTAAACTATAAAGTGGCAGCCTGCCCTGCCTTCTGCTCAAGAACAAAAGGAATGGGGGTTTTTTTTGCTAGGTGGTAAATTGCTTTAATCCCATCAACCAGCTATTTCACATTTTGGAGTTCTGATCAACAGGCCTTCAAATCAGGTTGCCTGTACCCCTGGAAACTCACTGGCTTTTGCGTCAGCATATACCAAGAAATTAAGAACATGTCTTTTCAAGCTATTCCTGTAAAATGGCAAGGCTATTTCTCAGAACTGGCTGGTTCTCAGAAGTCTGGGTACAGTAAGACCCTTTATAATAATAAGAAAATGCTTAGGGCTGCTGAAGTGTTCATGGTTCTTTTTCTGAGCAATTTTAACAAAGACTGCTCCCAAAGACAAAAATGATGTACTCCACTTATTGAATTTCTAGTGTTCAAGTGAGTTGCTAAACATTTAAGATCATTTGCAATGCTGTATACTTAACTACTTTTCTCTTTATTTACACGTTTTCGGAAGAAACATTTTTCAGTCTCACTTCATATCCAGACCAGACAAAAAACACTTACGGTAAAATGTACATATTTAATTTGTGGCTGCAACAGGGTAAGTTGTGCTCGGCACTGTATAAAGCACAGATGTTTTAGAACAGCTTTGGATATTACTTTTGCAAACACAACGCCCACCATAACTGGCTGGTGACATTCAGTCTTTGCCAGACACTTTGAATACTGAAGCAAGATTAAGGCATACAAAATTGTTCACAAGGAGCTAGTCAATGTCTATTCATTTTGAAGTACTAGACCAGGGGCGGGCAATTATTTTGGGCAGAGGGCTGCTTACTGAGTTTTGGCAAGCCACTGAGGGCCCCATGACAGGCAGCCCAGGACAGATAAATATTAATTTCCTAAATTTTTTTAGAGGCCCCGCAGGCTGGATGGAATGGCCTGGCAGGCTGCATTTTGCCCACCCCTGTACTAGACAATACTGCAAAAAAGAAAACAAAAAAAGAGAAAAAAAGGCATATTTGAGAACCATTTTTTTTTTTTTTTTTTTTTTTTTTTTTTTTAAGTGTTCTATAAATACCATAATGGCAGTACAGGATGTTTTGAGGCCCATTCACTAGCAGAACAGTCTAGTTCCCATACCACTGCTGATGACGACAAATGTCTGCTATGCAGAAGTTAGGTACTTTCTTCAGCAGTGATCTTCAGATCGTGGTGACACAGCACCCTGGCATGCCTTGAAATCTTTTCAAGGGTGTTGCAGGTGCCACTCAGTGTTTGCATTATTAGGTGTGCAAACATGATTTACAAAATCAATTCAGAGCTTTCAAATACAAAATTATCATTTTAAAAACATTTTGAACTGTTGTGGGATTGCCCTGAACCAGCAATATGATGTAACAGGATCCCAAGCAAAATATAACAATTGCGCTTCCTACCATGTAGCTATGCCATGGCAAAAAGAAAAATTGTTGTGATTCCACATCAGATCCCATCACATCTTCACCTGAATGTCTGACAGAGCCTAACTTCAACTTGAAATTCTTCCTACACTTTTGCATTATCACTTTGTCCCAACGCTGCTAGCTAGCAAAAACCATAAGTGATGCTCCTGTAAACAAAGCTTTCCTAGAAACTTCTGTAGAAGTAACCATTTGATATTATCCCCCTACCTCCAA